GGGGGCCCTAAGGCTTCATTCCCATTAGTCAGGCCCATCACAGGATGAATAGCCAAGGATTCATGGTCGCCGAGATCTTGGTTAGAGTCTGGAAGATTCCTTTTTGTTTTTCTTTCTCCTTTTTTGGGAGGACCACAGATAAATCTGTAATCTTGTTAACAGCACAGAATCATTGTAGCTGAAAAGGGTTCTGTATGAGGAGTTCAGAAAATGGTCTTTGTTTTGAGTCTGTCACTAATTGGATTTAAGGGGTCTCTGGTCCTCTCAGCTACTGATCTCCCCACTGGTAAAATGAGAGGCCCATACAACATCTCTCAGGACTGGGATTTAATCAGTGTAGTTCTCTGATTGATGCTGCTTTTGGACCTCTGTGAGTGGAAAGGGGGGAGGGGCAGTTGTGGCATAAGAGAGTGGAGAAGTGGGGGATGGAGGGCACGGCAGGGCCCTGGAGAAACAGAACAAGGCCAGTCAAGGAATTGAAGGGAAACGCACTAGGAAGCACTGCCCAAGACTGTTTGAAGGACATGGCAGCCAGCCCTTCCCTTCACCCGTATCGAGTCACCCTCCCCTCTATGTGTCCCCACACCTCCAAGCAATCTCTCTAATATCCTGAAGAACCCGAATATGTTAACAGCCAGACCGTTTCTGTTTCTAAATCAAATCATGGTTGTCTTTTTATAACTTTGCCAAAAATGATAGGTAAAAAAACTAAAACTTTTAATAGCTATAAGTGTTTCTTCCATATTTTTGGATCATGCTATTTCTAAATCTAATAGCATGTGCTGATTTAGCACAAAATATGCTTTTATTTTAATAAATACTATTTCATTATATTTCATCTAGAATATCAGGAAATCTTTACATATATATATATATATANTGTGGTGCTGACAACACCAAGCCAAGGGTTAAGATCCCCTTACCAGTCATCTTTAAAATAATAATAATAATAATAAGCTTGGTGGAAATAAATACTTGCCTCTGAGCTATTCTCGCAGTAAAATATACTAGGATGTCTGGACCTCAGAGGCAGGGCAGAATCCCATCTGATTACAATGGGATAGACAAGGCTAACTGATGTCTCCAAGACCTATCTGAGCAGCTGAACTTCCAAAGGCTGGGGCTGACCGGTCAGCTCAGTTGGTTAAAAGTGCGGTGCTAGAACACCAAGATCTAAGGGTATGGATCCCCATATTGGCCACCCCCACAAAAAAAAAATCAATAAAGGAACTTCCAAAGACTAATTGCTAAAAAGACTAAATTAAGTTACTGTTTCCAAGATATTTGGCTGGACCTACCTGGACTATGGTCAAGAAAATGCACCCTGGAGATCGACTGCTCAACTGGCAGGGCGATGGCATCCCATGATTCTAGCTTAGCATCAATTTGAAAAA